GATTTTTGGTATGTAGAAGCGCTACTTCCGGTTTGCGGCTTGGCCGCGGCGGCCCGGCCGAGCCGCGATGAAAATGCGGCTCGGCCGCGAAGCCGCGTTTCCGGAAGTAACTAATTACGGCGGCTCGTAGGGGGCCGCGTTTTTATGGAAATTAGGCCGCCGGCCCGGCCGCGCGGCTCGGCCGATCCGAATTGCCATGTCTGATCAATAGTCAAATTTTGCTAAAAACACTAGTAAAGTTTTAGTAGTTTCTCGACTTCTTCGAAAAATTACCCCCCCGATAATACAAAAGCACCCTAAAATGTGATACTTCAGCTCGGGATCGTTTTGGTGCTCACCATCCACCCGGGCGACCCGGACGGAATCCCCGAAATTGAAGCAGCCCATGATAACTCGACGAATGTGTCGCCGCTTGACACTTTCCTGGATTTGGTCAGGTAGATACGCAGCGTAATTCGTGGCGATATTATTTCCCTAATTGTCTTTCATAATTTCATTATTCTACAGAAACATGTTCCCCCAAAACATCATCCAAGCCTCGTTTCAACGAATTCAGACGCAGGTGAGAATTTGGAACGGTTTTTGTCATATTCAACTTCAGGAAAACCCGTTCAACGCCTCGGTAACGCACAGAAAGTCTAAAAAGCTGGTGACGCGCACGCCCGGGATGAACATTCTGGGAATCATCGTTTTCTGCACCGGGTTTGGGATTATGATTTCGCAGGTATCACCCAAAAACGACCCTTTAATTTTCCCCCTCTAGCTCGGGGAGCGGGCGCGGATTGTTGTCGATTTTTTCGTCATCCTCGACGCCGTCATTATGAAATGGGTGGAGACGTTAATGTGGTAGGGTATTCAACACGAGAAATACTGAGATGACTTTTCGGATCATTACTCTTTACGGGGGGCCGTACTGTTCAAAATGCTGTAAAGATCGTTTACATTTTGTTCTTATAGAGCCGAACGGGATTGCTGGGGAAAAAATTCGCCCCCCCCCTCCGCTAACACACCAGTACCTCTCCTAATAGTCATTTTAAGTTTAATAAAACTTATTTAGAACTAAAAAATGGAAAAATTATCTGGAAAAGTTTAACACTGTTTGAAAATTGTAATTTTGTTCGAAAATCGAGCTTTTTGGGTCGAAAAATCTCGATCCCTCTTCGGTCCCTCTTCGATCCCATTTTCAACGTTTTCCCAGGTTCGCCCCGCTCGGGATTACGTGTCTAATTTGTGGAAACCTGCTCGAGCTTGATGATCTGAGCGACACGGCGGCAGTAAGAACTACCACGTTTTTATCATCTAGATTCCCAGGTACTGATGATGTATGTGGCGACGGTGATGGCTGGCTTCATCCTGCACACGGTCGTCATCATGCCCACCCTCTACTTCTTGGTCACAAGAAAGAACCCGTTGGCCATTGTGCGGGGCATGCTGCAGGCCATCGTCACCGCCTTCGGCACGGCTAGCGGGTAGCGTTTATGTAGATTATTTTAATTGTGCCCAAATTTAGGTACTGCACTGTTAGCGGGGGGGGGGGGGGGGCAGGATTTTCCCGGTAAACCCGTACGAAATTAAGCTAGCTTTATTGAATTTTACATAATTTTTAGATATAAAAGTTCATAAAAATGAAAGTATTCTAAAAATTTTGACATTTAGGTAAAAAAATGTATGCAAAATGGTAAAAAACGTAAAATTTTTCGAATATAACAAGTTGTAAAAATGTTTTTATAAGTGTCTAGCAATCAAAAATGACTAAAAAACTAGCATACATTATATAGTATCAACAGGTCAGCGGAAAAAGAAAAATTAGTCTTCCCGTTGCTAACCCCGCCCCCCCCCCCCCGCAAACAGCCCAGTACCCAAAAATTTTCAGGATTTTGAATTTTTTTCAGCTTCTTATAGTTATAAACCGCTAAAATGCTACAAAAATGGATTACATTGTATAAAGGGCTGTATTTTTTTGTCTGGTCTGTTCCCCGAGTTACCCCCCCCCCCGCTAACGGATCAGTACCGAAATTTCGATAAAGTGATGTTCTGAATCTGATAGCAAATCGTCAACTTCTCAGGGGCGCCACGCTGCCGATGTCGATGCAGTGTCTCGAGGACAATTGCGGAATCGACCGTCGGATCACACGTTTTGTGCTCCCACTCGGCAGTACGATTAATATGGTATTTATCGAAAATTAATTACGATTTCGATTCAAGGATGGAAATGCCCTGTACGAAGCGGTGGCCGTCATCTTCATCGCGCAGCTCAACAACAAGGAGCTAGTTTTGCCGAGGTGATCACGGTCAGGTGGGCGGTTTCATGTTTTCAGCTACAAAAACCCAACTTTAGTATCACGGCCACCGTAGCGTCGATCGGTTTGGGTTCGGTGCCGGCCGGGCTCGTCTCCATTCTCCTCATCTTGAACACGGTCGGGCTGCCGGCCAAGGACGTATCACTGCTCATTACGGTGGATTGGCTGCTGTAAGTGGAGCTGGGTCTAGAACATACAAGATGTTCCAAAAATGTAGAAAAAATTCCGAAGCGAATATACTTTTAAAGGGATCGTGTCCGGACTGCTGTCAACGTAATTGGAGATGGATTTGCGTCGGGTGTTGTGGCGCACTTGCTACGGGTTTGTTCTTTTTTGGTGCTTTTGCATTATCGGAGTGGGGGGGGATAACGCCAGAAATGCCCAATAATCTAATAGCACTAAGTTCATTAGTTTATAGCAAAATTTAACTATACAGGGTGTCCCAAAAAAAAACCCCCCTCGGCATTTGGCCGTATTCTATCGGCTCGGGGCCAAATTTTTACCAGTGATGGGGACCCATAAAAACTATGTGCAGCCAATTTTCTAAGCAAAATATTGTAAAACCAAAAAGTTATCGCTAAAAACCGATTTTTGGAAAACGCTGGTACTCGTTTTTGGCTATGTTTTCGCAATTAGCATGACGATTTTGAGTAATTTTCCAAAAAAATGGTCATTTCTCGGTCAGTTTCTGGCAATTTCGATAATAAAAAGTGATCAAAAGGCCCAATTTAAACGTAATTTTCGTAAATCAAAAAATTTCTACAGGTAGAAAAGAGCGCCCTCTTCATTTTTGCTAAACATTTCGAGGCCGAAATCCGTCAAAATCCTAGTGAAATCGGCAAAATAAACCTTAATTTTGATATATCTTTTTTTTGTTTTACAATATTTTGCTTAGAAAATTCGGCTGCACATAGTTTTTATGGGTCCCCATCACTGGTAAAAATTTGGTCCCGATTGGATGGAAGACGGCCAAATGCCGAGGGGGGGTTTTTTTTTGGGACACCCTGTAGTTCAAGCAGAAAAAACTATCTAAAAATTTCCAACGGTCCCAATATTTTGGCCGATAATCGTTGGTTGCAGAAAGAACCAGGCAGAAAATCAGGGCAGAAAATCTATATTTTGTATTTTTGACAAGATTTTGTAAAATTTTGACGCATAGAAAAAGTACAAATATTTTAGAGTTTTTAATTTAGTATCATAATAGTGTTTTTAGTTAAATTTAACCATATTTCACGTGGAAAAATCTGTAAACTTTTAAAATTCTAAATTTGTGCGAAAAGTTGTTTTTTAGTATTTTTTTAAAACAAGAACCAGGGTTGAAAAACCGCTTCGCGGCTTTTCAACCCTGGCCCCGTCCAGGACGTGTGAAAGTCCTTAATTTGCATGTTTCTTTCTGAATTTTAGCAAGAAAAAAGTGAAAAACGGCTCCTCTGTCCCTTTATATAGGCTCTTCCAACTTCCGGCGTATGGTAATTTCCCCTAACAAAGCGGGTTTTACAAAAACCTAATTTTAATAGCGAAAACCACAATTTTTCAAAATTTTTATGTGTGTGCAGTCGATTCCGGACCATTCTAAACCTATTGTCGTTTCTTCCCTATCCAAAAAACCCTTTCCCGAGGCTGTAGGAGCGGAACATCCTAACGGAAGTGCATGCAAATATACACACACACACACACAAACACTATTTTTTTATATATAGTAGGATTTGTAAATTATTTGACGTTTTTTGTTCATCTTATCTTAATCTGATTCTTTCGCGCATTTACCACCTTTAGACGCGACTCGAAAAATCGGACAATCGCAACGAGTTTCGCGCCGGCATCAAGGAGGAGATTGGTGCGTGTTACTGTACTTTTTTCAGCAAATTTCATGCCGTTTAGAGCTCCTCAAGTCCGCCGCGCAAAGCCAGCAGCCAAGCCGGCGCTCGAGCGCATGGAGCGAATTTTCCGGGTAGGCAAAGCCGGGAGCAAGAGCTCATTTTTGCTGAATTTGTGGTTTCTAACCTTGATTTACTGTGTTAAGCAATGCGTACTTCCCGGCCAAGTCGTCGTTCTCGGGGTTGCCGTCAAGGGTCGTCTCCAGAAGGCCGTCAACGATCGAACAGCTGAGGTGGAGAAGTCCGTTGCTCTACCCGCCACTTCGCAATGAAATGATCTGATTTTATGATGTCGTGCATAAAGGGATCAGAGATAATTGCATGAATTTTTATATAGTTTTTTAGTAAATTTAACGATTTTCAGATCATCTGAAACATTCCAGAAACGTACTTTTTGGATTTCTTCAGCCAAAAATTGCACACTTTTAAAGTTTAGTCATCGAAAAAGATTTTTAGAGATACTTCCTCTAGTTATTTTTAAAAAATTGGATACCAACCTCCCCCCCCCCCGTTAACGCACGAGAACTGGAGGTTCCTATGTACAATTTTCCTAATAAAAATACTTAAGTTATTTTATTTTTATTAAAAAATACTGTAAAAATTTTCGACAGCCCATGTGCAACTTGCCTCCTATTATGCTATTGGCAGAAAATCAGGGCCGCCCTGAAAAAGGAGCCAATCCAGTCCTCTTCCTCTCCCTTCACAGTTGGAGATTCCACAAAACAGAGAGAGAGAGAGAGAGAGAGAGAGAGAGAGAGAGAGAGAGAGAGAGATAGCGAGAGAAAATCGACGACAACATGGAGGGGACGATGGAGGAAAACAGTCTGAATTGGATCTTCTGCCAACCCTCAACTCTCACTTTTTACAAAGCCACTCTCAAACGTGAGCAACGATTTTTATCTCGTTTTGATGGGGTGTTGGACAGGCTTTGGGCTCGCAGTGGCTGATTTGTAATCAGAATATCGAAATTATCAATGCCGACATTTTAAAAGTCCGAAATTCAAAATGCCGATTTTCCAAAATGTCGAAATTCATATTGCCGAAAATCGAAAATGCCCAAAATTCTTAATATCGACAGTTAAAAATCTCGTAAATTCAAAATTCTAACCTGTTTTTTGCTCATTTTCATACATTTCTAACCAGAAATTCATTTCAAATTTTCGAAAATCTAAATTTTTGTGTGTTTTTAGCTCGAAACTATATAAGATTTCTCCCCCCCCCCCGCTAATATTCCAGTACCTGGGGCCGAAACCTAGACTGCTTGCCGTCTTCCATCGCGCGAGATCGGTGCTACTTTGAGGCTTCGGGCTTACCCTGATAGAAAAAAAGTTCCTTTTTAGGGCAGGTTATAGACTGTCCCCTTATCCCCACCACCCAACCACTTTTCCGGACAAAAGGGCGGCTTTCTGCCGTGTTTCGGGTTCGGTTTTCCCGAGACTATCCCCCCCTTCAGAGCCACCTCGTGCCATAATCCTCCTCCCGGCTGCCCGTCCCCTAGATCACCTATCGATTTGCGTTTCTTTTGGTTATCACAAATCTGCTTGTCTGGATTCTCAGGACTTGGAAAGTAGCTTGAGGTTTTAGTTCATTAGCGGGGGGGGGGGACTAACGTAGAAGTCGAATAGTGCCTGATAAGTGATATCCTATTCTAAGGTACTGTGCTGTTAGCGGGGGTGACTTTCATAGTATTTTGTACACAGTTTTTAGAAATAAAACTGAAAACATTGTCGAAGATGTTTGATTTTGGTCAAAAATCGATGAAAAATGCCGGAAAAGGTCAAAATTTTCGAAATTTCGATACTTTCCAAGATTTTTCATAGCTTTCTTGTGAACACAAACTACTAAAAATATAAGAAACACATTAAATATCGTTAACGAGACTTGATCAACGGAAAAATACGATTTGTGCCCCCCGGTAATGAACCAAAACCTAGCTCGAAGAAGAACCATCTGAAAGTTCCTAGAAGCAGCTGCTGCCAGCCAAACTAAAGTTTTCAAAATTTTTCGAAAATTAACATACTTTAAAAGCCTTTTAATAATTGAACCAACCTCCCTCCGTTTTTCCACCCCGTCCTTCCGAGTAATCCATGTGAAAGGGCAACCAATTTTCGGTTTTGCGAACTCCAGCGCCGCCGAGTTTTCATTCGACGCCCCTGATGTCCCTTTTTAGCAGCCTTTTTTCTTTTTAGCATGCTCCGCCTCACGTTTTCCCCACTGAAAAAACTGTAGTCTTCAAAATTAAAATCGCTCGGTGCTTTTGCAAGAATTTATTTTATTGGTGCTTTTCTACTTTCGGGGGATCTTTTTTGCAATAGTAAGTGTTCAAATAGTGTTTCCGTAAAATTTAACTATATATTTCAAACCATCTAAAAATGTTAAATTTTTGCAAAAAAATGGGAATTACGGGCGAGAGTCGCCATTCTTGGTCGATAAATGGATGTTTTTGCATTTTTTATCAAAATTTTAAGGTTTTATAAGTTTAGGGATAGTAAAAACAAGTTAGAAACACTTCCTGTATTTATAGTAAAAAATTTGGATACAAAAGAAAAAGTAGGTTAACGCGCTGATAACACAAAAGAACCATCTAGGAGTATTCCTTCCTTGTTTGCATATTTTTCGCGCTAACATGAGAGAGAGAAAGCGAGAGATCGAGAGAGATGGAGAGATGGGGAGAGCGAGAGAGAGAGAGAGAGAGAGAGAGAGAGAGAGAGAGAGAGATCAGATTTTTAAGGCCAGATGCGATGGGTGGTGAAGACGCTTGACAAGCCGCTGCAGCGTTTCTTTGAATGGTACACGCGACGCATCCTGGTTGATTATTACCTGGTAATTATAGCGGCATAAAAGGCATGATTTGCATAGGTGTTCCTCGCCTGGCCGATCGTATTGACCGTGCTGCTGGGCGGGGGTTTTGCCTGGCTGAAGGAGCTGACTCTCCTCGATGCACGGCGCCTCTACACCCCCGTTAGTGCACCATCTTGGTCGGAGGAGGCGACGTTTTCAGAGGTCTTGGAAATCAATTTTTGTGACTTATTTTTATATTTAAGTTGCCGTTATTTTTGTTATTTTTACATTTAGTTGTGGCCGATCAAACCGTACGAATTCTTGCCCGAGCGCACATTCCAATGGGACCGCTATGTGTATGTGGTTGTTCACGGCAACATCTTCCCCAACGGCTCGTACCCAAATATACTCAATGGTACGTTTTAAGCTTCAGAATCTGGTACTTTCGCGTTATCGGGGGGGGGGGGAAGAGGGCGTATCAAGGGGGACTACAACCTTTTCTTTAGTATCCAATTTTTCGAATCTAAAAAGAGGACTTTTGTAAGCAGTTTGTACTGTTCTTTAGCCTAAAAACTTAAAAAAAATTATGAAAAATGCAGAAAATATATTTTTTTTCGACTAAAAAGACAGATTTTTTCAAAAATCAAAATTTCGAATCCAAATCTTCTTGATTTTTTAGATAATATTCCACTTGGAATATAGTTAAATTTTACAAAGAACTGTATTAAAATACTTACCAGAATTTTACAAATTTTGAGTAAAAAATACAAAAAGATCGTTTTTTCGACAGAAAAGCCGATTTTCGCACAAAATTCGCAATTTTACATTCTTTACATGTAGTTCCCCCTGAAATATAATTAATTTTTACTAACGAACCCTATTACAATACTTACTAGGCATTTCTGGAACTATAAAAAAAATTCGGCTCCCCCCCCCGATAATGCGTAAGTACCAAGAATCTTTAGAGCCATATCTCACAAAAATCGCCGACATCGAGGAAGAGATCGCCGACAAAGTGGCATTTCCGATGAAGGACAAATGGCAGATGAACGGCACCAACTTTAACGAGACGATCACCTTCAAGGTGAGCACCAAATTGGCGTGAGGAGCACGAACTTTCCAGAATTTATGCCTGAACTGGTATGGCGACTGCTATCGGCAATCTGGGCTTGTGCAGCTGCTGAAGCGGAGGTTAGTCAAAGTAGAGAAGCCGAAGGAGAAGCTTCTAGAAAAGAGCTGGAACGTCACGGGATCTCGGTCTCATATCCGGTGGCGAATCCCGAGGGCTCTCCATTCTACATAGCTTTCAATGTGGGCGGGGTCGATACGTTTGCCAACGATACGATCAAGGTAATCTGGCGGTTCTGGTTCATTAGCGGGGGGTATTTACTGCCCCAGATTTTTCGATCCTTTCGCTATTTTTTCGTGGTTTTTTCCGGCTATTACTAAGATTTGAGCTACAACCTAAAAAATTCATATAAAATAAGAAAAAAGAGAATAACCCTTAAAAATGAGTTCTGGTTCATTAGCGGGCGGGGCTATTTAGAACCCTTCCCTCCGCTAACGAGTCAGAACCAAAAAACGGCTGGATTTCGGCATTTTTAGTGTTTTTCGGCATTTTTTCAACGATTCGATACAGCATTAAAAAATGCACTAATATCTATCAAAAACTTTTAATTACAGCTCCAAATATTTGGAATTTAAAATACCGACAAAAATCCGCCCCTCTCCCCCGCTAAGGAACGAGAACCGGGACCTGGCTTTTTTTTGCTATAGAATTTTATAAAATGGAGTTTTTAGTCGGCAAAAGCGATGCGCCTCTTCTACTTCCTTCGTTTTGACAGCCCGCAATATAATGAAATGGGAATGGCCTGGGAGGATGCGGCATCGAAATTCATCGCCGAAACCTACGCTAACCATTCACATATTACGGTAGGAATTTGATGGCTTTTTTAAAGCTATATTTTCTGTTTAGTGCCACATCAAGCATTCCCGTATCCTCGACCTGGGGCTCACTGCCAACGCCAACCGCTTGAAGCCCTACTTTGCGATCACGATCGTGGTATTGATTGCGTTTACGGTAAGTGCTTTCAATTGCTCACAAAATTACCGCAATCTTTTGGTGCTTTTGCAATAACGGAGGGGATCTGCAGGGGAAAACCTAATTTTTTCCCATGGGCCCAGAATTTCCTAGTAATGTAATGGCGAGTTTTTGATAGCGTTTTTCGTGCAATTTAGCTATATTTAAAGTGGAAAATATAATTTTCGAAATTTTGGTCGAAAATCGGGAACTATTGGTCGAAAAAACTATATTTGGTGGATTTTTATATAAAATTCGTAAAGTTTTGGCGCTTAGAGCTAATAAAAAAACGGTTAGCAATTTTCTTTCTGTTTATGTTAGAAAAAGTGGATCTTGGAAAAACAGTTCCCCCCGATAGTGCGAAAGAACCTAAACACTTTATAGACATTCTACACGATCAAATGGAGCTTTGGGAGTCACGATGACAAATTCACAGGTGAGCGCTTAGCTTGGCTTCAGACTTAGCTTTATGCTTGGGCTTAGGTTAGGCTTAGATATAGGCGTAGGCATAGGCTCAGGCTTCTGGGTTCGGCTTAAGCTTGGGCTTCGGCGTAGGCATGGGCTTAAGCTTACATACCTGCTGAGATAAAAACCGCAAACCTTTAGTGGCGATCGATTGGCTTCGGTCGAAGCCGCTTCTCGCGTTGGGCGGAGTCCTCACAGCCGGAATGGCCATTGTCAGGTTGCTTTATTTCGTTTTTTTATACAAATTTTTAGTGGCATTGGGCTGATGCTGTGGTGCGGGATGTTTTTTGCCGAAATCACGTTGATCGCCCCGTTTCTTGTGCTGTGTAAGTGATTTTGATTTTTTACGCTAAATTACATTAATTACTTGGACCAGTAAGTAATTAAAGTATATATAAGTAAATTAAACTTTTCAGCGATCGCCGTCGACGATATGTTCATCGCCGTCGCCGCGTGGCATAACACCGAGATCGAGATGCCAGGTATTTGGTGGAAATTTGTGGAAAAGCGCGGCGATGGAAAACCCGTCCAGTCCACCTAAAAAGACTTTTTTACCGTTTTAGTAGAATTTTTTATAAAGTTTTTAGTAATTTTTTAGATGCTAAAAGTCGTCAAAAATTAACCATAAAAGAAAAAGAACCGTCAAAAACGAACATGAATATTTTCAAGAAACTGAAGCATTAGCAAGAGTGTGCTCGAAATTCCCTGGTAGGCCCGCACGATGATTAGTCATTTTTGATTTATAGAGCTTTCGTAGCAAGCGTAGAAGCAGCAGCTAAATTTCCAGGATACCCCAAGATTTCAGGAAACTCGGAAAAGGTGCTACGGGAGCGGATGGCTGTGGCCATGTCCGAGGCTGCGGTGGCAATCTTCATTACATCAGCCACCGATGTCTTCTCTTTTGCCATCGGAACATTCACCGACATCTATGCCGTCCAGGGCTTCTGCGCGATGACGGCTGCCTGCATGTTCTTCACGTTTTTGTATCAGGTAACCAGAAATAAACCTCGCGGACATAACGTTGGTCTACCGCCTCGTAGGGAACATTTCTAGGCATAGAAAGCTCATAAAAGTCTTCAAAATTTCGAAATGATTTTTGGCGAAAAATGTATAAAAAAGGTCAAAACTTCATTTTTTTCTACTTTATTAATTTTTCACACCTTTTTACTGACCAAATACAAATCAAACCGCCACAAAAATACCCCTGAACGCCAAGAATTTTCATAGATAGACTAGGGCGCTTTTATGGCAGTTTATTGAACGGAAAACTACGAAAAAAGCGCTGTAAAACGTTAAATTTTTGCTAGATAAGTTTTCCACCACTTCCCCACCCCGCTAACAGTCCAGAACCCTGTCTAGGTGACCTTCTTCGCCGCCCTCCTCGTCGTTTCCGCGAAGGCCCAATTCGGCGGTCGCAATTCGTGCATGCCATGCCTTGCCGCCACCGATATCCAAGCCGACGCCATCGAGAAGCACAAAAAGATGCTGAAGAAAAGTTTGTAACGATTTTACATATCGAAAAATATAATTTTAGGTCAAAAAGAACACGTGGCGCTGCCGGTGAAGGCCTTTGGGGCAATGGGCACTTTTTTCCGGTGTGAATTTAATTTCTTTGAAACAAAATTTTAGCGATATCTACGTCCCGATCCTCCTAAACGTTTGGACAAAAATCATCATTGCCATCAGCTTTGTTTTCTACATTTTGGTAGGAAATGTCGGTTTTTCACACATCCAACCCCGGCTGCAGATCTCAATTTATGGGATTATGATCATGGAGCAGGGGCTGGACTACGAGAAGCTCCTCATCCCGGACGACCCGCTGGTGTTGGCGCTGAGAACGGAGATTGAGCTCTTCCATGGGGGTGATCAGGTGCGTCTAAACCAGGCAATTTCAAATGACCAATTCACATTCAAAAAGCCGAGTTTCAGATTGAAATAGCGATCGTGAACGCGCCGGATATGACGGTGGCCGAGAACCGGGATCGAATTGAGCAAATCGTCCGGCGTTTCGAGCGAATTTCCTACAGCATCGGCCCGAAGAGCACCACCGTCTGGACGCGTGAATACATCAAATACGCCAATCTGACAGGTAGGATCTTAACTAGAAAAAAAAACATTTTTTAGGCTCTTACCTCGAGGATAACCACGAATCGTGGGTGGTTGGCGTCTACGAGTGGAGCCAACTGTTTGCCTTTTACAAGCTGTGGTCGGGCACGAATCGTCAAAAATTAAGCGCCGATTTTCAGGTCCCAGGATTTTGTCTGGTCCAACACCACTGATCTCGACTCATTGCGCCTGGACTCTTTCCGTTTCCGGATCGGCGTCACCGACTTTTCCACGCCGTCGGATCTCGTGGCGGTGGGTTGCGTAATTATCGGCTAGCGAAAAAAGAATAAATAAATAAATAACAATTTCTATCACTGTTTGGAACTATAATCATATCTTTTAGTATATTCCTTTGATGCTCTATCAGATTGCGCTGAAACAACCCCGAAAAAACAACGAAAATTTAAAGAAAATGGGTCAATCCCCCCGCTTATGAATCAGAACCTCGTGATCAAATTTTGGGTCTACAGGTAACCGCCGAACTTCGCGGTGTCGCCGCCGAGCACCCGGACCTCGAAATCATCACCTACCAACAGAGCCGCGCCATTGCCGATCAGGTTTGAAAAAATCATCTCCAAAAAACCCTTCTCTTCAGCTAAACGTCATCCTGCCCTCCACCATCCAAAATGATTCGCTGGCGGTCATCTGCATGGTGGTTATTTCACTGCTGTTCATCCCGAATCCGTTATGTACCGCTTGGATCACGATAGCCATCATCACCATCGACTTGGGTCCGAAAAGAATCGACTCCGAAATCCGTATTTAGGTGTCATTGGACTGCTCTCACTGTGGTCGGTGAAGCTGGACCCGATTTCGATGGTTACCATTATTATGTGAGGGCCAATTTTCATCAAAGTATTGGACCTTTAGGAGCATTGGGTTTTCCATCGAATTCTCTGCCCACATCACACACGGCTTCATGAGCGGCATCAATTTAACGGCTAAAGAACGAGTGATCGATAGTATGGAAAAATTGGCGTGGCCTGGTAGATCCTTCAAAAATTTGTGACCGGGAGGTTCAGTCGTTCACGGCTCATTATCGACAATTCTTGGCGTGACTGTGCTCGCCTTTATCGATTCCTACATGGTCTTAGTATTCTTCAAAACAATTTGCCTTGTGCTGGTGATTGGTGAGCCTAAAAACTAAAGCCACGCTAAACGTCTTTGCTAATTTAGGTGTTTTCCACGCGCTGGTCCTGCTACCAATCGTTTTGGAGGTCACCCATCCTTTCATGGAACGGTTGAACCGACGACTACAGAAGCGCCTAGAGGAACATGAACAAAAGAAAGAAAAGGGCGCCGGCTATGCAATAAGCTTGCCCGTGAATGCCTTGCAATAGGCCCCTGGTCACAAAGTAGCCATCCAAAGCCTTTCTTCCCACGAATACGGGTCATAGTATGCGGTGCTAATAAAGTATCTGAATTTATCCATTTTCACACACAAAAACAATGACACCTAAAGGCTAAGCGCTATAAAATTCTTTTTACATTGATGCACGAGAGGGAAACGGTAAATACTCGTCAAAAATACGCACATTTAACTAGTACGTCAATTAGGCAGGGATGGGTTGCAAGAATTACTGGAATCCATCCTTCGGGCGGTAGCCGAGCTTGTGGGCGACTCCCTCGTAGACGGGGCTGTCTCCAAAAGCGACCTTGTAAAGGCCGGGAGAGCGGGCGTTCCGGGGCAGCGGAGAGACCTAAAGCAAGGCATGAAGATATATTTAAAGTTTTTATTCTCAGAAGTTTAATGTATTTAAATTTATGAAACTGGTGACACCGATAAAAAACAACGAGCTAAATTACTTACACAGGTATGCTGTCCGTCACAAAGGGGCCGGTGGTCGGTCTGCTTGCACATGCACATTTGGTACTGTCCGGCCTTCTCCACCTACGCAAAAATAATACCAGAAAAATGGTCTTCGCACCTGGAAGCGCACCGGCCGGCAATTCGTCATCCCATCTGGTTTATGCGAGCCGTCACAGAATGGCTGCTTCACGGAGAGTCCGCATGAGCACCAGGAGTACGTCTTGCCCGAATCGAGGGATACCTGAAGCAAAACACAAAATGACGATAATAGCGGTATGCAGGTAATATTTTTTGGTCCAGGTGGAAAAAAGGGCAAGAAAACCGGGGCGCGAAGCTCAGCAACAAAAAAACTGACTAAACGATACCTTGGTCGGCTTCTTGGCAGCATCGATGCCCTTGTAGGGGAGCATGTCGCTCGCCGGATTTTCGATGATGATCCCCTTGGCGGCACCACGAGTAAATACCTAAAATAAGAATATTAATGAAATCAAAAAGTCGCAAAACAAAAACAGAGCCCAGCAATTCGCCCACCCGTTGCACGGTGGAGCCCAGATGCGTGGTGGTGCGCGTGAGCATCCTGAAAAAGATGGTATTGAAATCAAGGGTAAGCATATAGTCAAAATTTACAAAATTAAAATTTTATAAAGTTCTTTTGTGAAGAGTGTGTGGAAGGGGGCTCTGCTGTTGAAAACACCCGGTCCCCGTGCACAAAGTATTCCCGCGTAGCCCAGCAAACCGAAATTTTTTCTGGATGCAAAAGCTTTACCTTCAAATCAAACCAAATGTCTGATCCGGGACCGTCGGCTACGACTTCTGAACCGCAACCCTGTGAAGTCTGCTATCTGGAGAAGGACGCCCAATACAAATGTCCAAACTGCAAGATAGCTTATTGCTCCGTGAAGTGAGTTTTACTTTAATTTTATTAAACGACCTATCAGATGCTATCGCGGCGCAAAACATCGTCAATGCTCCGAACATTTCTACAAATCAAGGCTTGATGATCATCTAAACGGTTTGTTTTGCGAAAAATACGGCTAATAGCTATTCATAGAAGGCTCAGAAGCTCCGGGGATTGAGACCTTCGATGAGCGCATGAAAAAATATTTGGCTGGTGATGGTGAAGATGTGAAAGGTGAAAATTTTGTTTTTATTATGTTTTGAAATGCAATTTGCCAATAAACCGTTTTAGGCCTGGATCCCGAAGAGGCCGACGGTGAATTGGTTGATTCTGACGATGAGGGTGAAGATGAATATCTGAAAAAGGTGCTCCAAGACGTTGCGGATGAATACGACGTGTCAGAAGATGAGTTGGATCGGAGACTTTTGGTATTCTATTATAGCTTTCTCCTATATAATCCCAATAGAAATTCAATCTTGGCGGCGACGCGGATGCACTACTTGAGAGCTTGACGGAAGAAGGCGCAAAGCTTTCGCTGGATTGGCACAACAGGTAGCTTTTTATTTCTATTGTATAGCGTTAAATTTTAGATCCCACGACGATGAAGCTGAAAGCGACAGTCATGCTTCCGGTAAAAATAAGGATTCCTGTTGAAAATGAATTTTTTTCTCGATTTCCGTTCTGTTCTCTCACTGCGTTTATCGGTGTGGAGTTATCTTGATTTATGGCCTTCCAAACTGAAATACTGAAAATGTTATTTTAGAAAAATGCTTCGGACTACTAGGTTTTGCGGCCGTTGTTGCGAAGGGACTGGAAACAGGTCGGCTCAGGTATCTACCGAGTTTACATCCAGAAACCGGGCGTTTTGGGTGATTGTTTGCGCTGAATCGACCTCAGAAGTGACTTCAAGATCCTGAAGGGGGCGGCTGATAAAGCAACCGTCTTTTGCGGTTGTCTACGTTAATGAGCGTCAATTTAAGGTAACCTGGCTCTCCCGCTCAACAACGCTCTCTAGATTACTCAAAACGATCTCATCACGCTAGAGAGCACGTCGCCATTACAAGTTGGCGACAAAATAAGAAGCTCGACAGGTAGGTCGTTTGACATAATTCTTGTTTCATTTCCGTTTTAGGTTTTGGCGATCGGTGGAAGCTCCTTCACGGTATTTGGGCGACCACTTCTACCCTCCAGCTCAACTAACGTCACGGCTACCGTCGTCGAAAAAACAGCAAAGTATCCTGAGGCCCTACGTACACGAAAATCATCAGCAGGCACACTTCCTCAATTGTGAGTACTTTGGAGCCTAGAAAGTTCTTTGCTTACGGGGTTAATTCCTAGATTCAGGGCTCAGCAAAGGGGTGATGATACTCGAGGTTAATTCCGTTGAAGCAAAGCCGGAATTGCTGCATAAATTCGTGATGCCTTCAACAAAATTATTTTTTCGGCTTGATGGAGCAGCTCATAATCGCCCGAATTCTAGCTAGGTGGATTCGTTTGTCTAGGGAAAACACCGTTGTCTTTTGATGCCGTCTGTTCGAAATGTTTGTGTAAATAAAAGGGTTGATTACACGAAACGAATGGCATACGCAGCGGACCCGGAGCACCCCTCAATTAGGGGTGTTTATGCTGTACCCACTAATCTCGGCCGGCTAATCGCGGCGGGGGGCCCAGGGGCAATATGTGCTGAATACATTAGGAGGGCTCTGGCGAATGGCCTTGTGGTCTCATCTCTTTGGTTACCTCGGTAACTCTCGCTTCGAAAGAGCAACGAAAAAAGAAACAGCGCCGTCGTTTACGCTGGGTTGGGCTTGATGTTTGCAATGCTCAAAAGGCCAGAATAGTTCTATTTTTTTGCTGAAATGTCTTTGGAGTTATTGATTTGACTTCCGAATAGGGTGTTTGGAATTATGTTTTGCCTTAAATAATCTGAGAGTTAATCTTTTGGATAAGATTATTATTTTCATTATTTTGAGTTGAAATTAAAAATTGTATATTTTAACCTTTGATTTATCTATAGAAAATTTAAAATTTCAGTTTTGTGGGACCGTTTGCAGCGCTTCCCAATTCTCAGATCCGAAAGAGCGCTCGAACTGGCCCTTCAGGGTTCATTTAGTGGCACTTGGGGCGCCGGACGTCTAGCAGTGACCGTCGAGGGCTGCCCTGGGTAACTGCTGGGCTCGCCGTGTTAATCCCTGAGGCTGGGCGGTGCTCGATCAGATGATTTGGAGGGAGTGCGGGGGCTAGGAGAACGTCGCAGGGTGGAAGGGGCAGAGGGGGCTGGCGTGCTCGAGGACACCGAGAACACACACACTGCGGGGGACACGACTCTGCGTGGCTCGCGCAAAAAACAGTCCTGTAGTCGCCCCCGTGGGACCACCGGCGCTTGTCGCGCACCAGACCGACAACTCCTTCGCTTCTCAATCCTGCTCCTTTTGTTTGCTCTTACCTTCGTAATCGTGGTAGCCAGAAAATGACTCTCAAAATAACGAATCTTTTTTTGTATGTGCGATTGAGATAATTCATGTCATTTAACCTTCAAAGTAACGTATCTTGAAGTTATAGCTTGTCGTGCGCCGGAAACCGTCCATTTTGAACACATACTATTTTACGGGTTAATGGGGGAGGGGTCTCGGGGAAACTGAATTATTTTGGTATGAATCCAAAGTGTCCAGTAATATAGTGTTAAGTATTTTAGTAGAGTTTCTGTTAGAATTCTATACTAGATCCCAAGTTGGCCAAAAATAACTAAAAAAACTTAAGAAGTTTTTAATCCGAGGCTTTGGTCGCCACTGGTGTTTTTTGGTCCGAATCGGAACTTTGTTGTTTTTACAAAAAATGTAACTTTTTCTTGTTTGCCAATAAAAACGTTTAAGCACTCCTCGATTTCCTATTCGAAAACTTCGCCTCCAAGGAAATGTTGGTTTTGCCCCGATAAAATCTGATACCATTTCTCTTCCTCTCCTTTTTCTTGCTCTTTAAGGTAATTCTCTTCCTTTCTTTCTCTTTTTCGGCTAAATAGCAGCAAATTCTTGCCCAAAAATCTGTCAGTTACATTGAACAAACACTACCTCTTTTTCTGCACTTCCACGTTAATTGGTTTGACTATCTTCAGGGTGTTGGGATCAGCTACTTCATATGCCCACCACCACTGAAGCCCCTCACATAACTCAAAAGTAATGTTGGTATAACGCCAGCCCCAGACTCCAAATGATCCACCAGCATCCGGGCCTACTATTCTGCAGGGGTTAGGAGACAGCTGGCGGCCGCGCGTTTCAGCTTGTTGACGTCCCATACCAATCGCCGAGAATGGTGGGCCTCCTCCTGCTCCAGCCGTCATTGGCTCATCGTATTTATCCAGTGCGAGGCGGCCGCTTTGCTCTGTTAGCTCACCTACACCCCCATCGGCGCCCACCCGAATAAGGCAAATAAGACACAACCCGCCCGGGTGGAACTGCCACCTACCGAATTCGGGTTGGGGCGGCGCGTTTTGAAATCGCTTGCGGCGCCGGGGTTGAACATTTGGGAATTTGTCTTTAGCCGGAAATCCGGGCCGTGGCGTCTAGAAATCTGGAAATTTAGAACTCTGTTCAAGTCTATAAATTTTCGGTTCTGTCCTGTTAGCAGGGGTGAAGACCAATTTTTGGCCGATTTCCTCGATATTGTTTATTTTCTAAAATTTCGAGAGATTCTGGCGTTGAAAAACCTTTTAAAACGTTTAAACCTCGTTTAAAGCTCACGTTCAGGCGTCAGTACGTTTACACCTATTGACGGTATTCATAGGTGTATACGTAGAGACTCTCTGAAAGCGCGCTTTAGAGTTGGTAAATTTCGTCAAAAACCCTCTTTAAATTCGAAAAAGTACCTTTTGTGCCAAAATCTATGAAAAAATAAATAAGAATGTTCATACCTCAAAATTTAAACTCGTTTAAACACTTTTCCAATTTTTAATGATCGGAAACGGCCAAAAAGACCCCCCCCCCCCGTAACAGCCAAGTACCCAATTTCTGAAGCTCGCATTTCCCAAATAGCCCAAAATGAGTAGAATTTGCCCTCCTGGCCCCTAACTACTACCGCCACCCACTAGGGTTGGCAGCCCACAAAAAAGGACAAATAGCGGCCCGTCGAGCCCGAGCAATTGCCCTCCAATTCGATTCTCCTCCTCCTCCTGCTGCTCCCCATTTTTCCTATTCTCCTCCCCCATTTCTCATCCGTTCCACCCACACCCGCGAAACTGACTCATTGCCCACCATCCTATGTACAGCTGCAAATTCGAGGGGGGAATTCTCCGAAAACCGAGACCGCAATTTTGGGCGGTGGCTCGGGCTATTTGCCAAAACAGGTTTCGCCTTTTTTTGTTGGTGGTTGTCGAGGGCCTCGAAAAGTTTT